AAGCGGCGGCAGAAATGCAGTGAGCGGCGGAGGAAATGCAGTGAGCAAGGCCTCAGTGCTAGCAGCGCGGTAGCTAGTCTCAAGGGCGCGAAGGTGAGTGGCAAGGTCAACTACAGTGGGGAAGAACGCAAGATCAAGGAACAGCATGGGGAGGATCAGGCGGCTAGCAGAGGCTGTGGCGGGCGTGGAATAGCGTGCAACGATCGCATCTAAGAATTCTTTGGCGTTCGCTACAGTGGTAAAGCGGGGATGCTTAGACAAGGGGAGGGCGTAACCAATAGCAAGCTGCGCTACGGCATCGTGCATTTCTTAGACAGCACGAGCAAGTGCAGCAGCGGAAAAGGCCTAATGCTCAACAGAGGTGGGGGCATCAGGGAGGGAAGCAGGTGCGGTGTGAAGGGGAAGCAGACCATCGACATGAATAGCCAGAGAGTACCCGTCCTAGCGCTGACCTGTCAGGTGATGACGAAGGTCGACGAGCCAGGCCTCAAAGTTGATCGCCTGACCCTCTGTATCCAGGCAGAGGACAGCGTCCGCCATCCCACGACCTCAGCGGCTGACAGCGGCATGACAGCACGGTGGTACAGCGGCATGGCGACCCGGCGACACGGCGGCACAGCGGCACGATGACACAACGGCACGGCGCCATGGCGGCATGGCAGCACGGCAGCACGGCGGCATGGCGACACAGCGGCACGGCGTCACGATGGCACGGCACCACAGCGGCACGGCAGCACGGCACCACAGTGGCATGGCGGCACGGCGCCACAGCGGCACGACGCCACGGCGGGACCGTGGCCAGCGCGAGGGAGACCGGCAAGGCAGGGGCCGGCAAATAAAGGAGGGGGGGGGGGAGGAGGGAGGGACGGCTTGCTGGGGGCCGGCTAGTGAGGGGCCGACTAGTAAGCGCCCGGCGAACTGGGGGCCGGCAAATGAGAGGCCAGCAAGCTAGGGGGCCGGTCTGTGCGGGGCCAGCGAGTGCGGAGCCTGCGAGCCCAGGCCAGCGAGCGCGGGGCCAGCGAGCGTGGGCCAGCGAGCACCGGGCCAGAGGGCGTGGACCAGCGAGCTCAGGGCCGGCGAGCGTGGGCCAGCGAGCACGGGCTAGCGAGCGTGGGGCGACGAGGGCAGGCAAACGAGTGCGGGGCGACGAGGGCGGGCCTACGAGCGCGGAGCAACGAGCGCGGGCATACGAGTGCGGGGCGTCGAGCTGGATCAGCGAGCACGGAGCTACGAGGGCGGGCCAGCGAGCGCGGAGACATGAGGGCGGGCCTACGAGCGCGGGGCGTTGAGCGGGGCCTACGAGCATGGGGCAACGAGCGGGCCCTGCAGGCTAGGACTAGGGCTTGGACTAGAGCTAAGATTAGGGCTAGGACTAGGGCTAAGGCGGAAGCGCGGGTGGGCGAGGAGGACCTAGCCTAGCGTGATACCATCTCAAGGTAGCGAGTTGACTAGAATAGGGCATACAGGATAGTTTTGTTCTAGGTGTCGTACTCTCGAAGGTATGCTCCTAGCTAGCTACTTAACATATACAAATATATATGTTGACAGAAACCTCTTTAAGAAACCTCCCTTTAACATGTTTCGGTAACTTCCGTACATAACCTCTTGTCCTAACTTCTCGCTACAGCCTCTTGCTGGTGTACTGTTCAGACGTTGACTCGCGTGGCTTTTCCACCCTTTCGTGTCCTTTGAATGATGTAGTGCGGAACTTCAATTGTGCGCGCCCTCTACATGAGGTAACACACTACTTATTGTCAGAGTGAGAGAATTAGTTGGTTGCTAGCATGCAGGATAGAGTACCTGTAAAAGTGTTATCCTCTCTATAATGTACACCTAACTAGTCTATAGTATATATAAATACAACATATATGTATGCTAATACACCCCCTAGGCTAGTTAAGGGAAGAGTCTAGCATGACACAGCATTCCAGGGCAACTCTACTAGTCTGGCCTCTAGGGTATGTGACAAATAGCTCAGGGCAGCACTACTAGTCTGGCTGTTGAGACAAGGGCCAGAAGGCCAGCTAGCAAGAATAATAAGATAATAGTCATGGTTCTGCATTCACAGATCAAGATACAAGCAAGTGTGAGACTATTGGGACTAGATGAAGCTGAGTACAAAACCGCTGGGGATCACGAGGCCAAAGGGCCTTGGTGAAGATATCAGCAGTGTTGGCCTCTGAGGCTAACTGTATGACATGGTCCTGGCCACGATGCTGCAGCTCATGTAGCTGGAAGTACTGCAGCTTGATGTGCTTGGCCCTGCCCTCAAGCCGAGCCTCCAGACACAGAAGGATCATGGCCCTGTTATCAGCAAACAGGGCCGGGGAGGACCTTGGCCACTCATCTAGGGCAGTGAGGAGGGACGTTAACCAGCGGAGCTCTTGAGCGGCCCATAGCACCAGCGTAGATCTCTGCCTCACAACTGGACTGTACTACAGACGAGGACCTAGTGGGCCACCACGGACGGGTATGTCCAGTGAGGACCATTGGCACCCGTCCTCTCAGCACAAGCCCCACACCTGATGTACTCGCCAGATACCGCAACACCCTCTTGGCAGCCGACCAGTGCTCTGGCCGGTGTCTGCCAGTCGCAACAAAGCGAGCAAGGATACTGAGAGGGCACGCTAGATCACGGCGAGTGCACATCATCAGGTATACGAGGCACCTCATCAGGGCTGCATATGGAACACTGGGCTCCACCTGCTCACCGGAAACAGGAGCAGAGAGCTTGTGGTTGAACGCCGAACCTCTGGAGGATCTGCTGCACCATGTGGGACTGGGAGAGTGTGACTGTGCGCGCTGCACGATCACGAGAAATCCCCAAGCTCAGATAGCGGCGCAGCTCTCCCAGGTCTGTACAAGCGACCTGTGGGCGGTAACCAGGCCTGCGGCGTGCGAACGGGTCGCGGCGAGTTTGCTGGCGACCGGCGAGCAGGCAGGCGGCGGGGCGGCGAGCCAACTGGCGGCGTGTGGGGAGGGGGTGGAGGGGGGGGGGGCAATTGGCAGGTGGCAGATACTGCGAGCAGTAGCGGCAGTAGCAGGCGGCGTGGAACGAGGAGCGAGTAGCGGGCAGCGCGAGCAACGGGCTAGGACTAGGGTGCAGGCTAGGGAGGTAGACTAGGGCCTAATTTAGGCTAGGGATGTAGGCTAGGACGAGAGAGGAGCGGGGAGCACCTAGGGAAAAGGGCGGAGGCTAGGAACTAACCTAGTTGGAAACCATGTCAAAGTGAGAGAACCAGTTGGTTGCTACCATGCAGGACAGAGTACAAATAGAAGTATCTCTATAGTCTGCACCTAACCAGTCCACATTATATATACATACACCACATATGGATGCTAAAACTTAGGAGTAGGTACAGTCAGGAATGTTCCTTGGGTTTTCTTCCGACAACCTTCAACAATCCTTCCTCCATCCACGTTTTTCATTTTTGCACAACTCAATGTCAATTCCGACCCACCCGACCCGTTGCATCAGGCATCACACACCCGTTCCCAACAACCTGCACTACTTTGTAGATCGTAGTCCGCGTAGGCATGGCCTTCCCTCCCGTGTAGTTCTCTAGGTTGATGTTTTGTTATATTGGTAACTCTCAGTACTTTATGCTAGTGAAATAAGAACGATGCAAATTGCACAAGCAAGAAGCAAGCTTCTCAATACGATGCAATGAGATCATGCATGTTAATGCAATAATGCAACATACCATGCGATGTCAGGATACACGTTGGGGTCACCCTTGGTCCTCAGGGAAGGGTCACAGATGCAGAGACTAGGGGGTTATGGGCGCACTTACCCGCTACTTAACAAGCCCTTATAACTCAGTGGTTGGTGACTAAGTTCTGATATGGTATTGGAGCTGGGTGACTAAGTGTGCACCGGAGAGATGACAGCACTGCAGAGGTGCTTGTGTCTTCCGCCTATCCCAGAAAGGGGGGGTGTCAAGATACACGCTGGGGTTGTCCTTGTCAATTCTTACATATTTGCATATGTAGCAGTTATAGCCTAGAAGGGTTTAGGCTCTTAGAGAGTACAACACCCAACCATATATTCCATTGTATGCCTTCAACCTAGTCATTCGTGTTAGTATTAAGGACGGAGTCTAGTTGAACTCGAGCTAGAATTACTCAAAATATAAATCCGAAATTCTGGACAGAAAATTCGTCTTCACAAGAAACGACGTCGACAAAACACTAGCCGTTGGAATGTTGCGAAACTTAGATATGTTGTAGCCCTTAATCTCAGCTACCGTTCCCAATTTTAATCACGTTGATTGATGAAGTATTCGCGACGCTATGACTTTCGACGCATTAGGGGGTAAGCTGTAGGAGGAGAACTTAACTCAATCTCAAAAGTTCAATCAAAGTTCAAGAATGTCACAAGGAATTAGAGGAGCAAGAGAAAGGTTGGGATAGAAGAGATGGATGAGAGGTAAGGTCCCAAGAGAGTCCCCAACCAAGGAAACCCCATAAGCATAAAGATTCCCTCCCTATAGGAACCCCAACTTTGACATTTGTCCCTTCCCAACCAATCCAACCAAGTTGGCCACCCTTGCCAGCCTAGCTTGGTGGTTCCCAACCAATTTTGCAGCTGCTACAGTAGAGTGACGAATTTCCCCAACCCCAAAGGTCCCAACTCCATATAGAGTCACCCCACAACTGCACTTTGTAACCGCCGCAATTGTAACGCAAGCTCATGAACTTTGAATCTTCATAGCTTTCGCGTTCTTGCTCCGATTGAAGCGATTCTTGTTGCGTCGGAAAGATCTTCTCAAGATATATCATCACAAATACCTGCTCCGACAGAATAACACAAAACACATTCCCAAACTCCAGAACACACACCACACAAATTCTTTCACACACAGTCAAACCATACATGCGAATTGAAACAAGGGATGGGAGGCAGACAGAATGTGATAGCATATGATGACATCACACAACAATCTCCCCGTCTGGCTGCCAACCATCATCCACCATACCAACATCTCAAGTATGCACACTCATCCCAGCAAGCTTCATGCCCTTCCAATGATCCGCCTCCGCCAGTCGCTTAGTGAAAATATCTGCTGCCTGCTGATGGGTCTTCACTATGTCCAGCCGCACCTCCTTATCAAGGAGTGTCCTCACCCAATGCCACTTAGGCCTTATGTGTTTTGTCAGCCCATGCAGACAAGCATTCTTGGCGAGCTTCACTGCAGACTCATTGTCACAGAACACAACTGTCGGCTCCTCCTAACCAACTCCCAACTCCTCCAACAAGCGCCTCAGCCACACCACTTCCTTGGCCCCATGATGTAAGGCCATGTACTCAGTCTCACATGAGGACAATCCCACCTCATTCTGCTTCTTGCTGCGCCAGCTCACAGCACCACCTCCCAGCAAGCACACATAACCCCCAATGCTGGTGCCATCCGCTTTCACTGAGTTGAAGCTAGCGTCAGTATAGCAACTCAAGAGCATCTCACCACTCTTCACATCTACAGCACCTCTCTGCAACCGCTGCCTCACTCCACTGTACTCCGATCCCACGGATGCCGTAGCACTCATATAGCAGACCAACCTCTTGGCCGCTTCCAGCTGCTCATGACTAGGGCGTGAAACCACGCTAGCCAGCCGTGATGTAGCAAATGCAATGTCAGGCCGTGTATGATTTGCAGCATAATTCAGCGACCCAACCATCGAATGAAACAGCTTCCTGTCACTCTCACCCACTACCTCCTCATCAGCACATGGCTCCACAGTAAACCCCGAAGGTAGTGGTGTTGCTGGCTTTCCCTCATCTTGTAGCCCATACTTCTCAGCCAGCCCCTCACAGTACTTCCTCTGGTGCAACCTCAGTACACCCTTTTCCACATCTCTCTCCACATGCATCCCCAGGTAGTACTTCACCTCACCCATCTTGGAGCACTTGAACTGCATCTCCAGCATCTGCTCTGCGTTATCCAGCAAAGCAGTTGATGCAGAAAAGAGAAGGATATCATCCACGTACACCAAGAGCATGAGGATTTCATCCTTCTCCTGCAGCAGGAACAGGCTGGGGTCACACTCACTCTTCTTCAAACCCCCAGCCAGCAGCGCCTCCTCCAACTTGTGATACCATGCACGAGGCGCCTGCTTAAGGCCATAGATGGCCTTCTTCAGCCTGCAGACCCTGCCGCTCCCATCATCCAGCCCCTCTGGCTGCTTCATGTACACCTCCTCCAGAATGATCCCATTCAGAAAGGCAGTCACAATGTCCATCTGCCGTATCTTCCATCCCAGGAGTGCAGCTATCGCCAACAGCACCCTCAGTGTTGTTCCTTTACCCACAGGAGCAAACACCTCATCATAGTCCTTCCCCTTTGTCTGCTGAAACCCCCGTGCCACAAGCCTAGACTTGTAGTGGGTCAACTCCCCTTCAGGTCCATACTTGTGCATGTAGATCATCTTGGAAGTGATTGCCTTCTTCCCAGGAGGCAAGTCACACAGGTCCCATGTCTCGTTCTCAATCAGGGACCCGAACTCCTCATTCTCACTCGCCTTCCAATTCTCCCCATTTGGTCCATTCAAGGCCTCCTCTCGAGTCTTGGGCTCAGGGATGGGTGCCCAGTAGCAGTGAGCGATCTCATCTTCCTCAATCTGCTCAACCACACTCCCAGCCTGCACCACATTCGGCTTGCCTCTTCCCCCATAGGTCAGCCTCACCGAAGGGCACACATCCCTCCTAGGTCGCTCAGGCGGGTGTGGAACTCGAGGTGGAGACTCATGCTGCTGCTGCTGCTGTTGCTGCTGCTCCACTTCAGCTGCTCCCCCTTCCTCAGTCACCCCAGACATTTCCTCCTCAGACACTGCAATCTCCACCTGTCTTGAAGGCCGCTGCACCTCATCTGCCTCCACAATGAGCGGTGTAGATGGAAGCTTCTATTGCTGTTGCTTCCATTCCTTGTAGTACAGGGACTCAAAAAACTTCACATCCCTTGACACAGTCAGCTTCTGGGTGGTCAAGTCACACAGCAGCCACCCCTTGTGATCCTTTGCAATCCCCAACTGCACACCCCATCTTCCAAAAGCCTCCAACTTCCCCCTTTTCTCCTTAGGCACATGAAATACCACCATGCACCCAAATGCCCTCAGCATGTTCACAGCTGGAGCACTCCCATACCACTTGGTATACGGGATCCACTTCTTATCCCCAACTGTAGCTAGCACCCTGTTCTTCACAAGGGCGACCTGCCTCAGTGCAGACACCCAAAACGGATCAGGCAGCCCTGCACGCCCAAGGAGAGTGCGTGCCCCCTCCTGCAGGGTCCTGTTGAACCTCTCAGCCACGCCATTCTGCTGCGGGTTGTAGGGCACTGTCAGTTGAAGTTGGATCCCCTTCCTCTTCAACTCCCCCTCAAAATCAGCTCCAATGAACTCCCCACCATTATCACTGCGGATCACCTTCACCTTGTGTCCGCATTCCCTCTGAGCTCTAGGCATCCACTCCTTAAGGACAGCCGCTGCCACCTCCCCCTTGCTCTTCAAAGGGTAAACCAACACTGCGCGAGTGTGGTCATCCACAATAGTCAAGAAATAGCGGCTGCCTGAGAGGGAAGGGGCTCTTGTGGGCCCCACCACATCTATGTGCACAAGTGCAAGTGGGGTCTTGGCTAGTCCTGTAGTGCTGTTGAAGGGGAACTTGGAGAACTTGGTCTCCAAGCATGTAGGGCAGCTCCCAATCTCCTTCACTCCCCCTTTCACCTCCAAGCCCTTCAGGCTCCTATCCTTCACCAACTTCTGCAGCATAGGGAAGTTCACATGACACAGCCTCTCATGCCATGTCTCCCAATCGGCCTCACCACTCCTTGATGAAGCCTTAGCCCATGCCGCACTCGCATCCACACCAGCAAGCACCTCACCATGTGTCTGCTGCTGCTGCACTTTCTTGACTGCTTCCAGAACCCCATCAGTTGGTGCATTTGCATCTCCTCCTGCTGTTGCCTTTGCCGCTGCTGCCGTTGCTGCTGTTGGAGTCTTCCCATTCCAAGGGATGATGGGCAGCTGCCACAGGTCCTTGATGCAGCTGGTCTCCTCTTCCAGACTCCACAGCACCTTCTTCCCAAGCTTAGCACGGCAGCTGGTTGGTCCAAAGGTCACTTCGGCCTTGCTCTTCTGAAGTCGTCGCACAGAGAGAAGGTTAGCAGACAAACCTTCAACCAGCAGAACATTCCCAAGCCCCACAAGCTCCCCATTAGCTCCCTCAACCTTGGCATTTCCAACACCAATCACAGGGAGCAAAGCACCTGACGCTGCTGTCACATACTTAATCTTCCCAGGGGGTTTTACCTCATCAAGCAAATCTGCCCGTGGGGTCATGTGACTGGTGCAACCTGAATCAATCACCCAGTGCGTGAGAGGGTGCATCACAACCTTTCCCACAGATCCCACATCACCCTCATGCCCATGCACATCCTCAACCATGAGAAACATCCCAGGATATGCATTACCTTGTGCACCTTCACCTTGTGCACCTCAGCCTTGCATAGCGCCACCTTGTGCGCGTTCACCATTGGGCAGCTTCATGCCTGGAGGTGCCCATCCCTCCGGCCTGCTGAAGCACTTGAACCAAGGATGCCCGACCTTCTTGCAGTACCAGCAGGTGCCCTCCATTCTGGTACTCCCCCTGCCACTGGAGCTCCCATGCCCCTCATTATAGTCACCTCGGCCTCTACCTCTGCCAAAGCTCCTCCCACGGCCTCGGCCTCTCCAACCCCCTCTTCCTCTGCCGCGCCCTGCAGCTCCATACCCCTCAACAGTCTTAGTGGAAGCACCACCTCCCACATGGCGTCTGCGGAAGTCCTCCTGCAGAATCTGCTGCCTTAGCCACTCAGGTGTCCATTGATCTTGCTGAGAGTTGAGGGTGGGGATGAGGTTGTCCCAAGAGTTGTCCAACACCGAGATGATCTTGGTGCACTGCTGCAGCTGAGATACACTACTGCCCGCTGCTGCCATCCTTGCATAGGTGTCCTTGATCTTGTCAAGGACCGGCTTCACATCGTCCCCTGGTCGCATGGAGATGGCAGCAAGTTCCCTCTCGAGCACGATCACCATCGAGAGAGTGTTGGGCTGAATCACATCGCGTAGTAGTTTCCACGCCCTTGGACCCGAATCATCCGCTTCCACAAGATCCTTGATGTGCTCGAACATCTCCTTGTTGACCGATTGAAGGATGAGGTCGAAGAGCACCGCGCTTTTCTCAATCCACCGTTCACGTGCTTCGCCTTCTTCCGGCATCTTCTCCTCCCCAATAGCAATCTTCAGTAGCTTGTAGTGTTTGAAGGCACTCCTCATCCGCCCGCTCCATTCCTCATAGTTGGAGCCATCCTAAGCTTCAACTTTTGATGGCGGCGGCTCACTCGTCTTCTCAGATACAGCTCCTCTTCCATTAGCATCTCCTCCCCTCTCATTCATCTTCTCCTTGAGAAATGAAGAATTTCAGCTCCCCTTTGCTGTCCACACTCAGCTCCCTCGATATTTTCACAGGTGTCGGCGTCCTCGAAATTTCGGCAGAGTTTCCCCTTTTGGAAGACACATCCAACCTTTAGAACACCACTTAGGCACACCCACAGGCCATGGTGGGTCTAGAAGGGTCTTCACACTTCTGTAGACTCCTCTCAATGTCCTTAATATGGCTCTGATACCACTTGTTAGTATTAAGGACGGAGTCTAGGTGAACTCAGGAGCTAGAATTACTCAAAATATAAATCCGAAATTCTGGACAGAAACTTTGTCTTCACAAGAAACGACGTCGACAAAACACTAGCCGTTGGAATGTCGCAAAACTTAGATATGTTGTAGCTCTGAATCTCAGATACCGTTCCCAATTTTAATCACGTTGATTGATGAAGTATTCGCGACGCTATGACTTTCGACGCATTAGGGGGTAAACGGTAGGAGGAGAACTTAACTCAATCTCAAAAGTTCAATCAAAGTTCAAGAATGTCACAAGGAATTAGAGGAGCAAGAGAAAGGTTGGGATAGAAGAGAGGGATGAGAGGGAAGGTCCCAAGAGAGTCCCCAACCAAGGAAACCCCATAAGCACAAAGATTCCCTCCCTATAGGAACCCCAACTTTGACATTTGTCCCTTCCCAACCAATCCAACCAAGTTGGCCACCCTTGCCAGCCTAGCTTGGTGGTTCCCAACCAATTTTGCAGCTGCTACAGTAGAGTGACGAATTTCCCCAACCCCAAAGGTCCCAACTCCATATAGAGTTACCCCACAACTTCACTTTGTAACCGCCGCAATTGTAACGCAAGCTCATGAACTTTGAAACTTCATAGCTTTCGCGTTCTTGCTCCGATTGAAGCGATTCTTGTTGCGTCGGAAAGATCTTCTCAAGATCTATCATCACAAATACCTGCTCAGACAGAATAACACAAAACACATTCCCAAACTCCAGAACACACACCATACAAATTCTTTCACACACAGTCAAACCATACATGCGAATTGAAACAAGGGATGGGAGGCAGACAGAATGTGATAGCATTTGATGACATCACACAACAATTCGGTTACTCTAAGATCTCAGAGTTAGAATTCGTGTAGTAGAATGAGAGTATACAGGGGTATAAAGCTAGTGGGCTGAACTCTCTATGGCATGACCCTATGTAGTCTACTAAACATACACATTTATGTTTGACACACCCCCTAGACTAGATAGGGGCAGAGCCTGGTGAGAGAAAAACAGCTCAGGGCGCCACTACTAGTCCAACCTCTGGGGCAGGGGTCTTAAGACCAGTCAAAAGATACAAACAAGGCAGGAACAAGACCAGGGCGGCACTACTAGTCCAGCCACTAGGAGAAAGCCACAAGGCCAGTCAAGATAATATATAAAGAGTTATACACAATCAAGGTCCTCGCAAATGAGGTGCTACAAGAATGAGACCAAGCTGTACGCAGTGCCGCTGATGATCTTTAAGCGCAATCACCTTCATAAAGATATCAGCTGTGTTGGCACTGGAGGCCAAGTTAACTACGCGGGCCTGGCGACGCTGCTGTAGCCCGCGCAGGAGGAAGTACGGCATCTGGATGTGCTTCGCTCTGCCCTTGAGTCTGGGCTCTTAACACAAGAGGATCATGGCCCTGTTGTTAGCGTACAAGACCGGGGCAGAGCTAGGCTGCTCACCCAAGTTTGTGAGCAAGAAAGTCAGCCAACGGAGCTCCTGTGCCACCATGGCACCTGCATAGATCTCAGCCTCACAGCTAGATTGGGCAAAAGACGACAAGCGGGTGGACCTCCACGAGATGGCACCTGAACCAAGGCTAAAGCGGTAGCCCTGGGAGGACTTAAGAGTCTCGGCGTCGACTGCCCAAGAAGCGTCTGTGTGCCCAGTAAGGACCACTGGTCTGCGTCCTCCTAGCACTAGCCCCATGCCCGATGTACTTGTTAGATAGCGCAAAACCCTCTTAGCTGCAGACCAGTGCTGTGGTCGGTGTCTGTCGGAGGCCACAAAGCGAGCCAGGATGCTGAGAGGGTATGCGAGATCTGGACGAGTGCAAGTCATCAGGTACATGAGGCAACCCACCAGCTCTGCGTATGGACCACTAAGCTCTACAGCCTCCTCCAAGACAAGAGCAGAGAGTCTGTGGTCTACTGGCAGAGGGGTGGGCTATGCGGAAGAGAACTGAAGGCCAAACCTCTGAAGGACCTGGCGCACCAAGTGAGACTGTGTGAGAGTGATGGTGCGCGCTGCTCTGTCCCTGGAGATTTGCAAGCCAAGGTAGTGACCTGCCTCTCCTAGGCCAGTGCGTCTCTATCTGCAGTAGGAAATACCAGATCGTCTACGTAAACAAGGATGTAGAATGGAGTCTGGCCGGTACGGGACAAACTGCACGTCAGCAAGTGTAGCACGTAGCATGCCGTGCCACTCACGAGGCGCCTGGCACAGGCCGTAGAAGAGGCGTCGGAGGAGCCACTCGGTACCAGGGGGAAAGGTACCGGAGAAGCCCTGGGGGCGGCACAGGTAGACCTGCTCGAGTAGATTGCCCTGGAGGAAAGCTGTGGAGAAGTCGAGTGAGTGCAGTTCGTAGTCACGTGTAGCAGTGCTCGAAGATTGGTCATCTTCAGGGTCGGGGCGAAGGTATGAAAGAAGTCATCCCCCTCTCGCTGACTAAAGCCACGAGCAATATAGCGCGCCTTGAAGGCAGGCGACTCTCCAGGAGGGCGCTTCATCTGGAAGAGCCATCGGCCATCGACTACGTTCACCCCAGGAGGGGGAACTGCATCAACGAAGGTCCCGGTGGATCTCCAAGACGCCATCTCCAGCTCCATAGCAGCTATCCACTGAGAGGCCCAGGGTCCCGAGGTGGCCTCAGTGTAGGTGTGAGGGGTCGATATGTCAAGGGCGACTATGTCACCCTCAAGGACCAGCAGCATGGAACAGAGAAGGGGAGCAGCCTCTGACAGGAAAGCAAGCTCGTACTGTCTGTCCTCTAGGACGTCACTGCCAAGGGCAGCCACACCCTCGACGGACGGAGGGCAGGCAGGGTTACAGACCAGAGCGGTGGCATAGTCAAGGCAGCAGGTAGCGGCGAAGTCAGTGACAACAGCAACAAGAGTCGACAGACTCGAGACAGGAATGGACGGGTCGGTAACAAGATAGGCAATGACACGAGGAACAAGGGGACGCGCGCCACGGAGGAAGTCAGAAAACGGAGGCGGGGTCATAGCGAGCGATGACTGAGGAGGAGACAGGAGGAGCAAAGGAGCACAAGATGCATGGGAGCGAAGCAACATAGGGTGAGAACGCGGAACAGGGGAGGTAGGACGAGCACGAGACGGACGACGAGCCCAGACGTGAGATGGAGGAGCCGGGTCACGAAAGAGGGGAGGAGACACAGGAGGAGAACGAGGAGGGAATCAAGTAGGAGAAGAGTCCACGGGAGGAAACACAGGGCCGTAGACCAGCAGAGGAGGTGGTGGTGGCGACCGAGGAGGCATCGGCGGGTGGTCAGGAGAAGGAAGGCCGAGGAGGCGAAGAGCGGACACCGGCGGCGACGGCGACGGCTGCTGCCCGATGCCAACACCTGAACCTCCAGCAGGACCACGGCTCCCTCCGAGAAGCCCCAAGCCAGCACCCCTAGAACGGGAACCCGCTCCAATACTCGTTCCGGCACGCTCCCCAGCACCCCCAAAACGCACAAACCCCAGCGGCAGTGACGACGGCGGCTGTGGCGGCGGCGGTGACAGCAACGGTGGCGACAGGGGAGGAGAGACTGGGGCGGGAACAGGCGGGAGAAGGGACTCGGCCGAGCCGCGAGAGTCAGCAGACCCCTCGGCAGGGACAACCGAGGGGAGGGGGGTGATGTGAGACACACCAGACGGTGCAGGGCGGGGAGAGGGAGGAGCAGGGGCGACCAGGGGAGATGCGGGGACCAGGAACTGGGGGGGAGTGACCGAGGAACCACGGTGGGGGAAACGGTGGTAGAAGGAGACGGACACGTCAAAGGTGACGTCACGAGAGTGAAAGAAACGGTGAGACGGCATGTGGTAGAAGTGCCAGTCAGACGAGTCTAGGGGGAAACCTAGGAAGACACAAGGGACGGTGCGGGCAGTGAGCTTGTCTGTGTCAGAGGTACGAACGTGAGCAAGGCAGCCCCAGACGTGAAACGCAGACGCGTCACCAGGAGAACCGGTCCAGAGGAGGGTCGGCGAAACCTGCAACCGCTGAGGGTGCAGCCACAGGTTAAGCTGGTGGGCGGCGTAGCGAACAGCGAATGGCCACCAAAAATGGGGTGCACTGGCATGGATCATGGAGGTACGAGCGACCTCCATGACCAAACCGATGCGTCACTCAGCGACCCCATTCTGCTACAGGGAGTCCAGCAAGGTGTAAGTCTGGGTGATGCCCTCCGCACGACAGAACTGGCCAAGCCGACCAGAGGCAAACTGGCCACCACGGTCGGAGTGAAGATGCAACACAGGGTGACCTCGGTGCACATGTGCAGAGACAAGCCACGGGATAAGAACGTCGGGCACGTCGGCCTTCCGCTCTAGGGGAAACACCGTGGTGTAGCGAGTGTAGTCGTCGACAAGCACTAGGAAGTAACCCTTAAAACGCGGCCCATGGACAGGGGCAGGGCCCCAGACGTCCATGTACAAGGTTTGTAACGGCTTGGTGGTGGGGGAAAACGAGGAGGAGTGAGGGGCACGACGGAGCGGGCCCTCGACGCAGGGGGTGCACGGAGGCACTGCTGAGGAGGGGAGCACACAGAACAACGCAGGGAGACCTAAGACAAGACCGTAGTGGTGATGCCGAGGTCCTGAAGACAGCCGACACCAACTAGATTCCAAGAGAACGAGGGGATGTGCAGGCCTGGAAGAGAGTCTGAAGGAACTGCTGGACAGGGGAGAGTGGTGGAACTACGGGCGATCACCGGACCTGAGGAAGGATCGGCAAGGGTAACTGCGGCAGGGACGGCAAGCGGCGTAAGCGTAGTGTGGTCCCAAAAGGAACACCGAGACGCACCAGAGTCGAAAGTGAAGGAGGGCGCGGCAGTGGTGGCTGGGGGCAAATGAGCTAGGGTGGAGCCACGGCTAAACAAAGCAAAGGGTCCTACGCCTGACGCAGCGGGGGAGCCTAAACTTGGCACACTAGACACACCTACACTAGGCAATACGGGGTAATAGGAACCAGTCACAATAGAGTCATCGACATACAGCACATACAATGCAGAGCTAATCTCATCCATGTCCATATCAAAGATTCTAACACCACGGCGGAGGAGACTGTGCCAGTCAGGGAGGTCCGGCGCGGGGCCGAAGCGAAGACGAAAATGGTCGACTACAACAACGAGTAGGGGTATGACCGGTCTTACCGCACATGAGGCCGCGGCGAGGCACCAGCCCTAGCCCCCTAGTCGGTACTACCGCCAGCGGATGAACCACCTCCACCACCACCTCCACCCCCTCCTCCACTACCCCTGCCGTGCCCAGCCTTGGGACTACGCTGTGGCCACCACGACAGTGGTCCCAGCAGCAGGGGCTGTCTTAGCGACAGCCGCAGAATCGTTAGAGTAAGTGCACTGAGAAGGAGCACAACCCTGAAAGTTAGGGACCGGCGCAGTACCGCTAGACTGGGCGATAGAGCGCTGGCGGGTCTCTATGGCAGACAGGGTGTCAACAAAGTCAGAGAGGGTGAGGTCAGCCGGGTGCAGACTAAGAAAGTGGTCGCGGGCAGTGGCATGGCGGTCGGCGAGGCGGGTGGCAAGCAGGTAAAGGGTAGAGTAGATAGGGGGCTAGAACACACGAAGCTGGGCCTCAGTGCAGGCAGCGCGCCAGCTAGCGACGAGCGTGCGCAGGTGCATGTCCAAGTCAGTATAGTGGGGAAAGACGCGAGATAAGGGAAGAGCATGGGAAGGATCAGGCGGCCGGCAGAGGCAGAGGACAGGGTTGAATAGCGCTCGACAACATCCTCTAGAAACTCCTGCGCAGTCATGACCGACTTAAAGCGGGGGCGCTCAAACAGGGGGAGGGCATGGCTAATCGCGAGCTGAGCGACAGCGTCACGCAACAGCCACACAGCATGGGCAAGGGCAGCAGCGGCGGCGGACTCACGGTCAGCAGACGTGGGGTCAGCAGGGAGAGCAACAGGGAGGTTAGGGCAGGGGAGCGTACCGTCAATGTGGACGGCGAGGGAGTGGCTGTCCTGCCATGGGTCGAACTCAACCGGCTGACCCTCCGCGTCAAAGCGCAGCACCGAGTCCGTCATTAAGGCCGCTACAGCCGCGAACAGGCGGTGAAGGGCGGGACGGAGCGACGAGGAGCAGTGGGGAGGAGTGCTGTACGATGCAGTGCAGTGAAGTGCGGTGGGGCGCTGTGCAGTGCGGTGCCACGCGGTGCAGAGCGATGCTGTGCGGTGGGGTGCGGTGCAGTGAGGTGGGGCGCGGTGCAGTGCGGTGGGGCGCGGTGCAGGACGGTGGAGAGGGCCGGTTAAGCGGGTGGGGACGGGGAAACACGTCGGCTGGGCGGCTGGGCGACGGGGCCGCGGAGGAGCGGGGCGACGGGTCATGGGGCGGCTGGGCGACGAGGCCGCGAAGCAACGGGGCGACGAGGCCACGGGGCGGCTGGGCGACGGGGCCGTGGAGCAGCGGGGCAATGGGGCCGCGATGCGACTGGGCGATGAGGCCGCGGGGCGGCTGGACGACGAGGCTGCGGGGCGGCTGGGCGACGGGGCCACGGGGCGGCTAGGTGACGGGGCGGCTAGGCCACGGGGCGGCTAGGCAACGGGGCGGCTAGGCCACGGGGCGGCTAGGCCACGGGGTGGCAGGGCGGCTACGCTAGGGGCGACGCGGCCCCGGGGCCAGCAGGACGGCTAGGCGCAGGTGACGGGGCCGCGGGGCCAGCAGGGCGGCTAGGCGCTAGGTGGCGGGGCAACGGGGCCACGGGCGGCTAGGCGCTTGGGGATAGGGCCGCGGGGCCAGCGGGGCGGCTGGGCGCTAGGTGGCGGGGCAACGGGGCCACGGGCGGCTAGGCACTAGGTGACGGGGCCGCGAAGCCAGCGGGGCAGCTAGGCGCTAGGGAACGTGCCCGCGAGGCCAGCAGGCGCTAGGAGACGGGGCCGGCGGGCTGGCTAGGCAACGGGGCAGCGGGGCCAGTGGGGCGGCTAGGCGCTACGCGATGGGGCCGGCTAGGACCTAAGGCGGAAGCGCGGGTGGGCGGGGGGGACCTAACCTGCTCATATTACCATCTCAGAGTTAGAATTCGTATAGTAGAATGAGAGTATGCAGGGGTATATAGCTAGTGGGTTGTACTCTCTATGGTGTGACCCTATGTAGTCTACTAAACATACACACATATGTTTGACAGAAGTGTCATTGGCAGGGCTCAAATTTGAAGGGTGTTTTACCATGATTACCCTTGCCAACGGCCGCTTTTTCAGGATTCCCCTGATTTTGTAAGGCCAAATTTTCTGTGACCCTTTCTCAAAAAGTGTAAGGAATATTTTACCCTTTGTAGTAAGAGTGTTCGTCTTATTACCCTGACCAGTCAGGGTGCGCCAAAAAAACCCTGAAAAGGATTACTCCCAACCCTCGAAATACGCCAATTGTCGAATCTGCCACGCAGGCAGGGAGCCCCGCCCACCAACAAATTCTCGTTTTGGCTGCTCCCTCCCCTAGCGTCTATGTTCCCTGCCTTCATCTCTCTTGCTCGTTCCCCCCAACCTTGTTTGTCTCTCTGTTCCTCCCTGCCTTAGTCTCTCGCTGCTCCCGTATTCTCTCGCTGCTCCCGTAGTCTCTCGCTGCTCCCTTAGTCTCTCGCTGCTCCCGTAGTCTCTTGCTACTTCCTTAGTCTCTCGCTGCTCCCTTAGTATCTCGCTGCTCCCTCAAGGCGTATTCCTGAGGTAGCATCAGAACCAGAATCAAATTCAGACTTGCACGGTACAGTGAGGTGCAAGAGCGAAATGAGCAGTCTAATGAGGTTTGGTTCGGTTTTGCACGACTTTGATTCTGATTTCGTTTCTGATGGCGAATACGCCCTTAGTCTCTCGCGGCGCATGCGAGTTTAAACTAAGGGTGTAAGGGCGTATTCGTGAGCAGAATGAGCAGTCTAAACTCACGAATATGCCCTTACTCTCCCGCTGCTCTGTGAGTCTCTCGCTACTCTGTTATTGTCTCGCTACTCCCCCCGCGCATCACCATGTCCTTTCCCCCATGTTTCTTCCCCTTCAGCACCTCCAGCAGCAGCTCCATCCGCGGAAGGAAGGAACACTGTAGCTGTTACTGCCCCCGCCACTGTTGCTGTATCTCTGCGTTGGTGCAATGCTGGCGGAAGTAGCTGAAGTAGGAGAGGCTGTTGATGCTGTTGGGCTGAGAAATGCCCTTGGAATCTTTCCAGAGACTAAGTCCCAGTTGTAAAAGACTTGAGTAGTGCAGCGGAAGTTGAGTAGTTGAACCCTTGTACTAGTATATGAGAACAAGTGATTGATTAAAAGAAACAAGCATAGAGCAATATATAGAAAGCAGGAAAGTAAAGCAGTTGTAGAATACAATTTAAGGAGCGGTTTCTCGAGTCGCACAGCGACTCGATTGCCAGTTCTGTTACCATCCTTGCAGTTGTAACGGTCAGTCGCAACCTCCGGTTGCGACTCTTCGTGTCCATTCGTGTTCTTTGTCCGCCCCTTCGTGTTACCTCCGTTGACTCGCTAGTCGTGTACCCGTTATGACTTTCCTCGAGTGTAGTGTTTACACTTCAGAAACACTTAAGTCTTTGAGATATTTCCAACAGATGCTTTGCTGTAGTGATCCTGCTTGTATGCTTGCTACTAAGAAGCTGAAATTGTAGACGCTGTTAACTGCGCAGTGGACAGGGTGATGGCATTAGTGCCCTGACTCAAACAGGGTATTGATTATTTTTTACGAATTCACCCTGATTTTCAAAGGGTGCTGAAAATTCCACCCTAGGAGGCAGGGTAATTCTGTAGCGGTACCCTGATTCCCAAGGGTGCCTCTAAACCAATTTAGGGCCCTGGTCATTGGTCCTCGGGGAAGGGTCACAGGTGAAGAGCCTGGGGGGTTATGGGCGCACTTACCCGCTACTTAACAATCCTTTTTTACTGAGTGGTTAGTGACTGAGTTCTGATATGCGATGCCATGCGACATTCCAGCAATAATATCGAGAGTCCGAGAGCCGAGCCCTGTGCAACCACTAGGGGACTTGGCCGACGACATTGTGGTTGATTAGATTCATTGGTTCAGGTGCAGGCAGCAGCTTTGGCCCAGCCTGGGGCTCGAAGGACGGACCCTCGCAACCAAGGATGCCCCATGTCAGGCTGTGCGAGTTTGTAGAAGGTGTTAATATAAACTCGGTCCCCGGTTTGACAATTTTGGCATTATCATGCATGCATATACAACACTGACTAGCTCTAAAGGCACAATCAATATATACATCACCATCATACATTCCCACAACCAACGCTCGAACACCGAGTCCTCTAGGAATTTGGCGTTCCAAATGTCTTATTTCAAAGCCCGATTAGGGCCTGGCCTGAAGAGCTGCTTGATGGCGTCAAATGCGGACACCTCCCATGCCTCCACATGTGACACAACCTGCACATATGGTACTGTAGGTGTCAGTAAGTGTCTAAGTAACACTCAAAACACCTGCCCTCTTGAACCCTGTCAGCCGGTCAGTGGCAGTTGGAGATTGTGAAGGCATCAAAACTTGGCTGATATGGGGTGGCAGAAGTTGATCACTGAAGTAACAAATACAGCTCGTTGTTACTGCGCATTGAAAACCGAAATATATTCGAGTGGGGCTGATCTCGCGCTTGCAGTTCAACCTTGAATTCCAAGTCTGTATTCCAAGCTTGTATCCGAGCATTTACCAGCCCCCTGGTCCTTAAGTACAGGGCAGAGTTGCCCTCTTACGTTCCCCATTCATCCACCCCACACACTCCCAGCTCGCACCTTGGGGCGGGCCGCGATTAGTGCATGCACGGTAGAGCCGTTCGTTGATTGACGTCCTCAAGAAAGACGGCAAGCAAGTTGACGGGGGCGCACTTTTAAAGCATCTAAAAAGCACAATCTCTTTATTCCCATTCACACTCGCAGCTCGCACCTTGGTGGCAGCGCCATTCAGTGTGTGCACCGTAGAGCCGTTGATGTCCACCAGAGGGCGCCATGGCAGGCGGATGGGCGCGCTGGGGGGGAGAAAAACGAGGATGTGGGGTTTCGAGAAGGGAGGGTGCGAGGACAAGGGGAGAGCGGGTGAGAGGGAAGAAGCAGTGTATGCAAGACGTGAATGGGATGGATGGATGGAAACGCACGTGCCTTGATGCCTCTACAATGCATGTATGAATTGAACAATGCACTCAAATGCAGCTGGAAATGCTGCTGGCTGCAAGGATGCATGGATGCATGGATTGATGGATGGATGGATGGATGGATGGATGGATGGATGGATGGATGGATGGATGGATGGATGGATGGATGGATGGATGGATGGATGGATGGATGGATGGATGGATGGATGGATGGATGGATGGATGGATGGATGGATGGATGGATGGATGGATGGATGGATGGATGGATGGATGGATGGATGGATGGATGGATGGATGGATGGATGGATGGATGGATGGATGGATGGATGCATGGACGCATGACTGTGGCAACAGGACAACCCACCAGTACTCACACATACAAATTTCCCCCTCACACGTCACGAAGCCCCCTTCCGATAGGGAACAGACTGATACCAATCCCTTACTTCCCATTCCCGCCCTTTCCATCCCACCTCTTCCTTCTCCCACCCTCCCCCCTTCCTTCCCATCCCCACATCCTTTCCTTCCCACCCCTCCTCTTCTTTTCTCATCTGGTACCCAACCTACTGCAGGCGCCGTATCCACTTGAGACAAGTCGACTCACAAAGACGTATCCCCCTTCCTTACGCCCTCCCTCCCTCCCACAACTCCGTCCTCCCTCTCCATCCTACCACAGGCGCCATCTGGTCTCCAGTCGTGCCGCAGAGGAGGGGGTTGGGCCAACAACCTGGAGGTTGGGGTGGGGTGGGGTCAGCCAACCAGGCATGCAGCATTGGGACTTGAGAGATGGGTTGAAGGGGAAAGTGAGCCAGACAGGGATGGCATTCAGGCATGGGAGCAGAACCTTGATTGGAGGAGGAGGTCAACCCTTGGATGGTGACGCCGAGGAAGGGAGAGGATGGCGGAAAAGACGGGGGCGAATGAGGTGACTTGTGAGTCGACTGAAAAGGCAGGGGAGTTGATTGGAGGAGGAGGTCAACAGTTGGATGAGGAGGAGGAGGAAGGGAGAGGATGGTCGGGAGGAGGGGGGAAGAATGGAGGGGGAGATGGGAGAGGTTGGGAGAGGATGGGAGAGGATGGGAGAGGACCCATTCATCCACCCACCTGTTCACCCGCCCACCCATTCACCCATTCACCCACCCACCCATTCACCCACCCCCCCATTCACCCATTCACCCACCCATTCACCCACCCACCCATTCACCCACCCATTCACCCGCCCCCCCATTCACCCACCCACCCACCCATTCACCCACCCCCCCATTCACCCACCCACCCATTCACCCACCCACCCATTCAACCATTCACCCACCCATTCAACCATTCACCCACCCATTCACCCACCCCCCCATTCACCCACCCACCCATTCACCCATTTACCCACCCACCCACCCATTCACCCACCCCCCCATTTACCCACCCACCCACCCATTCACCCACCCCCCCATTCACCCACCCACCCATTCACCCACCCCCCCATTCACCCACCCCCCCATTCACCCACCCACCCATTCACCCACCCCCCCATTCACCCATTCGCCCACCCACTAACCTGCAGATCTAACAGGTGGATGGTAGGCCCATCAAAGAAGGGCGTGAGCAGTGAGATGTTTCGGCGCCACAGAGCCAGCCCTGAGAACCGAACCGTGGGATCCGCAAAGTCGCACGCCTCGTCGTAGAAGCGTGTCGAGATGGCTCCTGGTGAGGGAAGGGGGGAGAAGGGGCGGGAGAGATAGGAGGAGAGTGAGGGGAGATATGCTGTGCTGAGCTACCACCGCGCCAGCCCTGAGAGGCGCACCGCGGGGTCGGCAAAGGGCACGCCACGTTGTAAAATCAAGAAGAAAGGGGGAAGGGGGGAAGGCTCCTGGGAAGGGGGAACGGGGGAAGGAGAGAGTAAGGGTGTGGGATGGGGGCGAAAGGAGGAGGAGAGCGAGTGAGAGAGAGCAACGGAGAGAGTGAGAGAGAGAGAGAGAGAGAGAGAGAGAGAGAGAGAGAGAGAGAGAGAGAGAGAGAGAGAGAGAGAGAGAGGTGAAGAGTGCACTCCGCGACGAGTGCATCCGTATGGCGCGGGACGCGGGGCTCATTGTCACAAAAGAGACCACTATCTACAGTCCGGTGGACGGTCACAAGGCGGACCTAGCCATGCGCGACAGGGTCTCCGGCGCCGTGTGGATCTGTGACGTCACCGTCACGGATCCCATCAGCACCCGGGACCCGCACGCACGCAAGGGGCGGGGTTATATGGCCCGGGAACAAGCCGATAAAAAGATTGACCATTACCGTAACCGCGCACCTTATGTCGGTTTCTTCCCCTTGGCCGTGGAGACCTATGGCTGCCCCTGCGCCGAGGTCCCCAGCTTCCTGAAACTCCTCGCGGACACGGGAGCTAGACGGCTGTTCAACGCGGACCCAAGCTCCTACCAAGCGGCGAAGCTCCTGCATCAGTTCCGCCAGCGCTGGTCCGTCACACTCCAGCGGGCGCAGGCCCTGGCCTACCTCGGGAAAATCAACGAGGCTGCCCCGGCGGAGAATCCCCCCGTGGGTGCTCCCGGAGCCGAAATGGGCCTAGGGGACTGTTTTGCCATAGCTGAGCCCCTCGGGGAGCTCTAGTCTTCCAGCCACCCACCCCCTGCGTGCACGCACCTTTCATAGTCTCCGGAGTTGGCCCACATGCCTAGTATGTACAACGTCTTTAATCAATACAAGGACCGCTTGAGAGAGGTGAAGCCCTCCAGCGGGGTCAAGCCCTCACCTACCTCGGGAAGGTGAATGAGGCTTCGCCACTTGAGGGGCCGCCCCTAGGTGCTCCTGAGGCGGGCATGTCCCTTGGGGACTGCTTCGCGGTCATTGAGCACCCAAGGGAATAGCCGGGGACTAGGAGCTAGACCAAGAATACCATGCATGCGTGTACCCACCTTATATGCCTCGCCTGTACCTAGGATCTCCCAGCAATGAAGGACCGTTCGAGAGAGGGAGAGAGAGAGAGAGAGAGAGAGAGAGCATGGGTTCCCAAGCTATATAAGGCCCTCTCCCTCTCATTCTCCTCTGTTTTTAGTTCAGTTCTCATTTCTCCTTCCTTTGCCAGCGGCTCGCGTCGGAGAGAGAGAGAGCGAGAGAGAGAGAGCATGGGTTCCCAAGCTATATAAGGCCCTCTCCCTCTCATTCTCCTCTGTTTTTAGTTCAGTTCTCATTTCTCCTTCCTTTGCCAGCGGCTCGCGTCGGCGGCCTCCGGCCGCCGCCGCTCGCAGCGCGGCCTTCGGCCGCGCGTTCGGGGACGGCAAGAACACCAGGAAACGACTACTCCGTTTTCAATACAAGCACCAAGCCCCAAGGGCACAACAAATCCCTACAGCGCCCGCTCCAATGCCACCAGCATGGAGGGACTCCTACTACTGACGGGACGCTCGCCAACCTCCCAGACGGCCGCTGACGCGGGCCGCCCGCGAACGTACGCGAGACGCCACCCCGTCACTCGAACCCCGCGGCCTCTTCCAGCTGCGCCGACAGTAGGCCCACCAGCACCCGCAGCATGGACGCGCAGCTGCCTGCGAGATCTACGGCTGACGCCAACGCGATGCTCTCCGACATCGCTTTCATTGCGGCGGCCACGGCCGGGTCCAAGCCATTTCCCGGGCCGGGCACGGGCAGCGCTTGCCCCATCACCACCACGAGGTCCGCAAGCGCGTCCGAACTCGTCCGCAAGTGTGAGTGCTGCATCTTTCGGGAGCTCTCTGACCCCAGCAGCGCGGAGTGCGTCGCCTCCACGACCACCGCCAGCAGCCCAAACGCCTCCTCGTCTGGCACATCCGTCGGAAAGTGGCTGCTGGAACCGCGACCACCTGCCCCGTCTGCCGCCTGCCCGGCAGACCGTCCTCCTGCGCCCCCGGTTGGCTCCGCGTACCCACTGGGAGCTGGGTCCGGGACTGGGCACGGAACCCGGGGGAGATCTCCTCCGACGACTCCATCCCCCCCGTCTCCGCTGCTTCTGCCCCCTCCTCAACTCCATTTGGGGACACCGCCAGTCGACGGGGTGGCACGAAGGGCCCATACACCCCCACACCCGACGCACGGGCGGGAAGCCCCGGAGCCCAGTGATCGGGGACGAAGGACTGCGGAGGTGGTTGCCACTCGGGGAGCGCTCCACTGGAGGCCGCCGGTGTGTCCAGGGTGGGAGGCGCCATGGGAAGACGAGCCCCGCGGTACACAGACGGCGGAGGTCCCAGAAGCGCCGACGCCGGCTGGAAACACACGGGCGCACTCGCCGGAAACAGCGACGGCGGATGCGGAGGGGCGAGGAGAGGCGGGAACGGATGACACGGACGCGGTTGCAACGCACCGGGCGCGGTCTGTGCAGCCCCTCCCATCGGCGCGGTCGAAGCAAGCGCCTGAACGCCACTTAGAATGCCTTCAAGGGTCCGCGCGCTGGTCGCCAGCTGGCGCTCAAGAGCCGCCGTCCGCGCGGCAAGGCCGGCGCGACGGCCGCGACGCGGTCCAGCACGGCCGCCGCCCCCAGGAGTCCCCCAGGGCTGTGCAGCAGGCGGACCAAGACGGCCTGGAGATCGGCGGGGAGCCGGCTGCGGGGGGGGAGAGCGACGCGACGGCAGCTGCAAGGACGGCAGCGGCTCGGTCCGCCGCTGAGGCAGAGCGTGGGATGGTGGCGACGGCGACGAATGACGCGACGGCCGACGCGGGGACACCGGACGCGACGGCGGACGCGGGGAGGCGGGACGCGACGGACGCCGTGGGGACGAATAGCACGAACGCAGACAGGGGGAGGGCGGCCGAGACGGCGGGCGCGGTGACGGCGGCCGAGACAGCGGGTGGCGAGGCGACGACCCCGCTGGGCCACCGCTACGCTCTGCGCGCTCGGGCCCCAGGGTCCCTCCCTGCTCGCCGCGCAGAGCAGGCGCCGCCGAACCACTCCCCGCACGGGAACACACGGGGTCCGGCGACTGCCACTGGCTTCGGAGAGCGGGGATCCCCCGCTCCCACAACGGCGCGGAGTAGGCGGCCAAGCTCGCCAGATCTTGGGGGCGCCCGCTATCAGCCGAGCTCGACAGATCGGCGGATCGCCCCTGACGGCCGCGAAACCCCCCTTCGCTTCCCATCGAGCACTCACCGCCGCACCCCACCGACGGCAGGGACGCGCCTCGGGCCGCGACAAACGCCGCGAGGAGACCCGGGACGGGGTGGAGGTCAACGGAGAGAGCGCAGCAGGGCAAACGAGCTCATGGCAGGGGGAGGGCCAGTGAACGACTTCCAGAGGGCTGCAGGACGGGCTTTAAGGGCGAGACGGAGGGAACGAGCAACTGACGAGGAGGAGAGGAGGGACCCGACTTATAGAGAGGAATCACAGTACGAGTCAGGCACTGAGGGATCCGAAGGGGACGCTCGAGACGGAACATTTCGGGGACAAGCGTCGCGACGCACACGGCTCGCCCCAGCTCCCGCGGCTGAAAACAGGCCGAACGCACGGAACGAGCGGGACCGCACAGAACAGCCCAGCCAACCCCAGCGACAAATTTCGCCAGCAGAGCTAGCCGCCAACGAACAGCTTTTCGCAGGGGTAGCCAGCTGGGATATCGGGCTCCTCTGCGACAGTCGCCAACCCCCCCTTTCCCGCAAGATCCCCCCCAAACTTCGCCAGCTTTTCGCCCTCGTCCTGCTGACACCCCTCCTCCACCTCGCAGCCCAACCTACCAGCCTGCCAGGCTGGCGCCTGTTACTTTTCGCACCTCGACTGACACTTCGCCTCAACTCGCCAAAGCACCCTGACTGGCCCACTGTGGAAAAAAGGCTCCAGCAGTTCCTGGCAGGCGATTGGCACGAGCTTTACCTGGCAGCAGTGGACGCCATCCACGACCCACCGGCGCCACGTCACACAGGGGACACCCTCGGCAAAATATCTCGAGCCGAGGGGCTGGTCCGCCGAGGCAGCCTGAGGCGCGCCCTGCTGGCCCTCGACTCGACACCGGTCAGCGAGTCAACCCAGGAAGTCCTCGAGGCGTTGAAAACCAAGCATCCACCACCGCTGACTGAGTCACTCGCTTGGCCACACATCGACGAGTCGGAGGTCCCCCCCTCCCTCACGCTCGCAGAGTTCACCAGGTTACTGAGTCGCAGCGAAAACGGGGTCGGCGCGGGCCCCTCGGGAATGTGCTTCGAACACATTCGCGATGCAGCCCTCGCCAACAGCGCCGTCGCCAGCAAGCTCCACACCCTCGTAACTCAATTGCTGCGGGGCGACTCCACTCCTGACGTAGCAGCACTCCTCACAGCCAGCCGCCTACTCGCCTTCCCTAAACCCGACGGAAGCACGCGCCCCATCGCCGTGGGCGAGTGCCTCCACCGCCTTGCCGCCAAAGCAGGACTCATCTCGATGGCGGATCGGGCGCGCAATCACTTTCTCCCACTGCAGTTCGGCGTCGCGGTGAAGGCCGGTGGCGAGGCAATAATCCACGGGGCCCGCGCGTTCGCCACCGAGCGACCATCCTCGCTCCTACTGCAGATCGACCTCACCAACGCTTTTAACAGCGTTGACCGCAGCGCCATCGTCTCGGGCCTCTATAACTCCCCCCTCCGCCCTCTCCTACCCTTCGTCCAACTCTTGTACGGCGCCCCCTCCCAGCTGTACCTCGACGCCGGCTTCAACAGCCCGCCCCTGCTCAGCGCTCGAGGCGTCCGGCAAGGGGACCCTATGGGCCCGCTGCTCTTTGCCGCCGCCATGCACCCCGCCCTGCAAGCGACCGCCGCAGCGTACCCCAGCGTCCTGTGCCTAGCGTATGCTGACGACATCACGCTGCTAGGCGAGCCGGCAGTGTGCACAGCGGCGTTCACGCACCTCACTGACGCTCTGACCCCCATGGGCCTCACGCACAACCCATCTAAGTGCGCGGCCTGGTCCCAATCCCAACCCCCTCCCTCCCTCCTACCCCCCGGCATCCCGTTCCGCGACTCTGGACTGCGGGTCCTGGGCAGCCACATCGGCCCCCACGAGGCTGCGGCTCAGTTCCTGCGCGAGCAGCTGGCTGACATGGCCAGGCAGCTCCCCGCCCTCGCCGCCATGGACCCCCAGTCCGCCTCCCTCCTCCTCCACCGCTGCGTCGCGCGGCGGGTATCTTACCTCACCCGCACAACCCCACTGAACCTGCTCCCACAGGGGGAATGGTCCATTTGGGGGCGGGAGCTCTTCCTTACCCTCCTCCGCTCCTGCAAACTCCAGACACCACGGGGAGAGCGGGAACTTGCACGCACCTGGGAGCAGGCCTCACTCCCACCCTCCCTAGGGGGCCTGGGCTTAGTGGACCCAGCAGTGGACGGTCCACATGCGTTCTTGACCAGCGTGGCCCAGGCACACAGGCTCCTGCTCTCCCTCCCCTCGGACCCCACCGGCCCCTTGGCGACCGCCGCATGCGCTCTCGCACCCCCCTACACCAGCCCCACCCCACTTCACACCTGGCTGGCGGAGTGTGAGGCAGCACTCCCGGCCCCGGCCCTGGAGCTCCTGCGAGCCGAGCGCCTGGAGCCCTCAGACGAGCCCCTCCAGCACCGACTCGCCCTGGAAGTCCACGCGGCACGGTTTGCTGCTCAGCTGGCGGCCACCCGGGAGATGGAACTCAACCCCAAGAGCGGCCACACACAACGGCTCCTCTCCCTCACCGGTTATGGCGCAGGAGACTGGCTCCTCGCTATCCCACTCTTCCCCTCCCTCCGCCTCGCCCCCCCGCACTTCGCCATAGCCCTGGCATTCCGCCTGGGCCTCCCCTTCCCCGCACCCAAGGTGTGCAACTGCACCAAGCGGGTACAGATCCTGGACCCACGACTCCCGAACCACCTGTTCCGCTGTGGGACCGGACACGGCCGCACCGACACCCATAACGCACTCAGGGACGAGTGCATCCGCATGGCACGGGACGCCCAATTCATCGTCACCAAAGAGACGGCGATCTACAACCCGGTCGACGGCAAAACCGCCGACCTTGCCATCCGGGATCGGGACTCGGGGGCGGTGTGGATCTGCGATGTCACCGTCACCGACCCGGTCAGCTCACGAGACCCGCTAGCCCGTAAAGGCCGCGGCTACATGGCCAGAGAGCAGGCCGACAAAAAGATCGACGACTACCGCAGCCGGGCGGAGTACGTCGGCTTTTTCCCGCTGGCGGTAGAGACATACGGCTGCCCCTGCGCCGAGGTGCCCACCTTCCTCAAACTCCTGGCACACACGGCCGCCCGCCGCCTTTTCAACGCCGACCCCAGCTCCTACCAAGCCGCAAAACTGCTCAGCCAGTTCCGGCAACGCTGGTCCATCACACTCCAACGGGGACAAGCGCTCTCGTACCTGGGGAAGGTGAACGAGGCCTCTCCCCTGGAGTGGCCCCCCTTGGGCGCCCCGGACGCCTGCATGTCCCTTGGAGACTGTTTTGCAGTGATAGAGCCCCAGGGCGAACGAGAGTAGACGGGGTCCCGATAGGAGACTCACCTGAGCCGAGACACCAGTTTGTACCAATCCGGCATGCCTAGTTTGTACCCAGGATTGCCCATCAACGACGGACCGTTCGAGAGAGAGAGAGAGAGAGAGAGAGAGAGAGAGAGAGAGAGAGAGAGAGAGAGAGAGAGAGAGAGAGAGAGAGAGAGAGAGAGAGAGAGAGAGAGAGAGAGAGAGAGAGAGAGCGAGCCCTTAAACATGCACGTACCTTGACTTGTTGCCCCTTGCCTGCCTAGCCTGTACCCAGTTTTCCAAGCAATAAACGGACCACTTGAGAGAGAGAGAGAGAGAGAGAGAGAGAGAGAGAGAGAGAGAGAGAGAGAGAGAGAGAGAGCGAGAGAGCGAGAGCGAGAGCGAGAGCGAGAGAGCGAGAGAGCGAGAGCGAGCGAGAGAGCGAGAGCGAACGAGAGCGAGAGGCTGCATCGGAGTGTCGTACCTCCTCCGCAATACGCCGCCTGATACACTCCCTGCGTCTGAGTGATCCGCCCACCTGGGGAAAGGGGATCTGCCATACCCTCCTCTCCTCCGCGCAAACGCATTACCGTGCCACGCCACCGGCCCGAGCAGCAGCGCACCGGGAGCCAAGCCTCCCTGCCCTGCCCGCCACCCTCGGTGGGGTGGGCTGGCCTGGGCCTCATCGATCTGGCCGTGGAATGCGGCCTCAGCTGCCTCGCATCGCGTCCACCGCAGCTGCCGGCCACATGCTCTACTCGCACGGTCCAGCTCTGCACCCGTCCGTCGCGGCCTTTCTGCCGCACGTCGCCCCAGACAGCCACAGCCCTGCTTGCCTTCCGCCTCGCCCCGCCGCTGCAGAGGACGCCCTTCCCCCACCCGCCCTTGACATCCTCCCCCCAGCAGCGGGACGAGCCAGAGGTTGAGTTCCTCCAGCAACCCCTCTCGCCCTCCAGGTGCACGCCGCCTGCTATGCTGACCCCCTGGCCTGGAGGCCAGCCATGACCTTGGTCACACAAACACAGTACCTCCACTCCCTCATCGGCCCCGGTGCGGGCGACTGGCTGGCTCATTGCCATCCCCCTCAGTCGCACGCTCCGCCTGTCCTCAGCGCACTTCGCCTCAGGTATCACCTTCCGCCTCTTCCTCCCCCAGCACGTCCCCGGCGCCTGTGGCTGCCGCGACAAGGAGCCGATCTTTGAAGGCCTGCCGCCTCCCCACCCAACCACCTCCTCCGCTGCGGCACCGGGAAGGGCCACACCCGCACACACACCATGCTCCGCACAATGGTTGCGCCTGCATCGGCATCTGCATCGACTCCGGCTTCTCGGTCCAGAAAGAAACAACCCCCTACATCCCCGTTGAAGCTCTCAAAGCTGACCTCGCCACCTGCGCCACCCGGACACCCGGGGTGTGGATTCGCTATGTGACGGTGACCGGTCCCATCTCCTCCTAAGACCCCCTTGCTTGCTTCCCGCGACATCGGCTGGGCGGGTAAGGCGGCGGCGGCTCATGCATACAAGTAGGACACAAGTACCGCAACCGCACCGAATGGGTACAAGGTTCTTCGCCACAGCAGTCGAGTCGAGACTCGAGACCTCTAGACTTACCTCCGCCAGCGTCTTGGAGTTCCCCCCCCCCCCTTGCGTTGCGCCACCTTGGGAGCCAGGCGGCTGCACCACGCGGAGAGCCTAACTCCTGAGAGGCGGGCAGGCTTTTCCACACGTACTGGTGGCAGCATTGGTGCGTCCGTCACGCTTCAGCGAGCGCAGGCCAATGGTCTGATTGCGAAGCCCCACACGCGGCTTTCCGTGCCGACGCGACTTTCGTAGACCTCGCGGCCGACCAACCAGCGGTCGGGGACCTGCTACTGCTGGGTTGATGATTTCGTTTTTGAGAAACGAAAACGAAACGAAACTATCAACCCACCACTAGGGGTCTGGACCTGCCTGCTGCAGGTCCTAGAACCCAGGGGGGACCTTATGTCGGCCTGAGAGGCCTTTGGTTGCCTAATACTCACCTTGTGCCCTTGTATGCTATGCCCTGTGCCATCTTTATTACGAAGGACCACCGTTTGAGAGAGAGAGAGCGAGCGCATACCTGTGACAAAGTATGCCCGCTGCTCGTAGTCTCCTCGAACGGCCTCCACCAATTCAGGCAGCACACCGCACTCCTCCTCCGCACTTGACAATGCCTCACTGCGCTGCAGGGAAACACTACCAGCAGCGGCAGAGCTGGCAGCAGAGGCAGCCGTGGCAGCAGTGGCAGTATCGGTGGCAACGGTGTTGGCGGTAACGGTGTTGGCGGTAACGGTGTTGGTGGTAACCGTGTTGGTGGTAACGGTGTTGGTGGTAACGGTGTTGGTGGCAACGGTGTTGGTGGTGGATTCTTGAGTGGGAGTACTCACAGGGTCTGACTGGACAGCAAGGAGCAGAAAGAAAAACAGAGACCAAGTCAACAAGCATGGATGGACCACAGCACAGCACGGCACCGCACCCCACCGCACCCCACCACACCCCACCGCACCGCACGCAGTCAGGGCGTTTCCAAAGTGATTTTTTTTGTAAAAGTACTCGAGAAAGCTGCATCGCACAGAACCACTGAAAAATTGCCGCAAACCGAGCTGCAACAGAAACCAATTTTGAGAAAACTTTCACTTTAACAACGCCCTCAGAGCTCGCAATCAAACCACCATCGTTTGTCACGCACGGTTCGACTCTTCCCCTCCGACCTACTGCCCCTTCCCTCCTGTCGCGGAATAACCCCTGGATAATCGATAAAAAAACCAGTAAATCCGGTCCGACGCACAAACACACCACAACCCCCCTCAACCCCCGTTCTGGTCGTATTCCTTCCTCCCTCTCTCTCTCTCACTCGTTCGCATTCTGTCCCTTCACCTCGTCACCGCAGGACCTGGTGCTCATTTTTTACAATTCTCAAAGCCCCCTATATCCGCCATCCACCTCCTTTCCCCACCTCCTTCCCCCACCTCCCGCCCGCGCGCTCACCCGCGGTGTGATTAAATCGAGGGCGGCGGTGGCGGCGCCCACCAGCAGCCGGAGCGCCAACGGAGTCCCATCGTTCTGCGTGCTGCTGCTGTTAGGGTGTTTTCTGCTCGCGTTATCATTCCCGTTCCCGTCTCCGTTTCCGTTTCCGTCGTCTCGCGAAAACGCCTGGACACGGGTGGTGCCGATGCGTATAACGCCACACGAAGCGCGCCCATTAGCGGTGCTTCGAGACCCGGTACTCCGGTGAACAGCGCGCCGAGAAGACGACGGTCGACCGTCAACTTGACGGCGTAGCCGAGGAAACGCCCTCTCGGCGGTCTGGAGACGAGCTAGTAGGTCGCTGGAACGAGTATATGTTACGCCAGTAGATGCGCTACTTGAGCAGATCGATGGCTGAGTCGCATCCCGCCTACGATGTCGTGCGAGATGGTCTGAGGAGACGACACGTGGCCACGCTTGCGCCGCGAACATCTTGGGTTGCTGCTGTCTCGAAATTTTCGCTGGTCTGTGTGGAAATAAGAAGCTGAAATCAGGTTTTGGCAAGGAAATGGGAGGAAATGGGGCGAAATTCCAAATTGACGAAATTGTGTTGGTGGCAGTGCTTGCTCCAATAGCATTTGGGTGGAAATTGGATTGTGATTGTTCATGCCTATTCTGTACAGCATCTGTTTGTTCGTTCGGTTGTAATATCGCGTGTTGAATCATGCTACTGGCGAACATTTCCACCGACGTCCGCGATTTTCAAGGCAGAGAGCATCCAGCGGTGGAGCCTACGTCGGCGAGAACACACCGCAAAAAAATCGCTTCGCGAGCGTGTCGCGGGCATGCCGAAAGTCGAACCTTGTTCTGAACTATCCCACCACGACAAATGGCACCCCTTGAAACCAATATGAAATATTGCAACTGAATGGGCACCCAATATCACATAAAGGGGGTGCGGTACGAAACCAAGACGGAACTCAAATTATACAAAACACGCTCACAGGCAATCGACGGTGGGCTATCACGTAGACAGGTGCGGCATGGTGAATGGTCGTGCCAATTCCGCATCGCACATCCGCCGCCATACAGACGCTGCTCCTGATTTCTTCAGTCCTTGCCAGACATAGTAGCCAAGCCACGAACAAGGTACTGTGCGCCGTGGTTTTCCTCTCCAGCCGTTCGGTTTGGCCCTCGTTCGAAGCCGTCAGTCGTGCCACCATCGCCTTGGTAATAGTAACGCTTTCCAGTACCAATCTCCTCGACGTAGCAGGAACCCGAGACTGTTTCTCACCTCTCCTCGTCCCTTCACCGCTCCTAGTAACGATCCGCTTATAACGGCACTACGAGTGATACCCTTCAGGCTAGTAGTAGCAGTACTCTCTAGCATTAGCAGGGGAGCCGGCCGTTCGCATGGCGACAGGCCGTCCGCATTTAACGGCGGCGTCGGCGCGATTCGAGGCGTCGGCGCCTGGAAAGGTGATCTTATTCGGCGAGCACTCCGTGGTTCACGGCAAGTTGTGCGTCGCGGGGAGCATCAGCCTCCGCACGCACGTGCGGCTGGACCTTTTAGATCTGGACCGTCTTAAATTAGGCCTTCCTCCTCATCCCGAGCCGCCGCAGCAGCTTAATCCTTCACCGGAGCAACAGCCGCCGGATGTCGCGCCGCACCACCCGCCGCAACAGTCGCCGCCGCTGGCCGAGCCGCACCATCTCGTGCTCTCCTCTCCCTCCACTAACGCGTACATCCGCTGGCCAATCGCGAGCCTCCACCGCATCGCGCGCGCACATCCCGCCGCGTTCCCCGCCCCCGCGCCGCTGTCACCGACCAGACTAAGCGAGGAGCACCGAGCCGCGATGGAGGAGCTACTAGAGGCGGGAGAGGGCGTCGATTCGCTAGGAGGACCGTCGGAACGCGCGGGAGTGGCGGCGTTCCTGTTCCTGCTGTCGCGAATCATGGGGTGAGCTCTCATTCCTTCTGGGACTGGTCGGGGCATGGGAGAGTGGATGGGTGAGTGGATGAGTTGGGGGGCGACCAGCGAGCGGATGGCGAGAGATTGGCAGTGAATCACGGAGCGGAGGCGGGAGAGGGTGCGGAGGCGGAAAGGGGACGGGGGGAGCGCGCAGGATTGGGGGGGTTCGTGCTCCTGCTGCCTCGATCCACGGGGAGGGGGTGGGAGGGTGGGTGAGGGGGTGAGTGGGGAGTGGTGGATGGGGGGATGGCGATCATTGGGCGTGAAGCAAGTGCTGGAAGCGGGGGGGAAGGGCGTGGCGTTGATAGGAGGGCCGTCTGATCACGCGGCTGGAGCGCGCAGATACACTGTGTGGGTGAGCGTGTGTGGGTCAGTTTGTGGGTGGGTCTGTGTGAATGGGTGCGTGTGTGGGCGTGTGAATGGGTGTGTGGGTGGGTGTCACATCCGGCATCCCTCCCGCACACGTCTAATCTCTCACAGCACTCACCGCACCAACCCCCCCTGCAGCCTTCAGCCTCCCTTTTGAGTCGTCTAACAAGTCATCTCCTCCGCGCCTGCTCTCTCTTCCTCCCTTCCTCCCCCCCTGCAGCCTGCAGCCTGCTCTCGTTACAGTCACATCCGACATCCCTCCCGGTGCGGGCCTGGGGTCTTCTGCTGCTTTCTCCACCGCCCTGACCGCCGCCATGCTCTCTGCTGCTTCCGCCATCCCTGCTCCTGCAATCCCTGCCGTCCGCTCATTACAGTCACCTTCTGCACAGGAACAGGAACAGGCACAGGAAGTTTCGGTAGAGGAACAACCAGAGGAGCAACGAACTCAGGGGGGGACGGGAAGTGGGGGAGCGCTGGTGGAGGCGGGGGCTGGGGCGAATTCTGAGTCTACTCAAGGGGGGCCGAATATTGAGTGGAGTCAAAGGACGCGTGGAGCGCTGGTGGAGGCAGGGGAGGAGGCGAAGCGGGTGGTGAGCGCATGGGCGTACGAGGCGGAGCAGATTATCCATGGGAAGGCGTCCGGCGTGGACAACCACGTGTGCTGCCATGGTGGGTGGAATGCCATGGTGGGTGGAATGCCATGGTGGTTGGGATGGGGAGGCATGGCGGGTGGGAGGGCTTGAGCAGATGGTAAGCAAGCATGGTATGACGGGCAGAGCATCTGGTCCATGGGAAGGCGATGGCAAGGCGCCTGGCGTGGACAACCACGCGTGCTGCCATGGTGGGTGGTGTTGGGAGGCATGGTGGTGTGGTGGGCATGGTGGTGTGGTGGGCATGGTGGTGTGGTGGGCATGGTGGTGTGGTGGGCATGGTGGTGTGGTGGGCATGGTGGTGTGGTGAGCATGGTGGTGTGGTGGGCATGGTGGTGTGGTGGGCATGGTGGTGTGGTGGGCATGGTGGTTGTGCAATGCAGTGCAGCACGTTGCTCTCCAGGTGAGTGCGCATGGCTTGGCTAGCAGGACAGATGGCAGGGAGAATGAACAACCACGTGGCTTGGCTTGGCGGAGGGCAGGCCATTTGACGGAAGGTGTCTGGGGTGGACAATCATGTGTGCTGCCGTCGCGAGCGTGCTGCCGTGCCATGGCGAGCGTGCTGGCATGTGATAAAAGCCTACTTTCGAGGCGCCTCAAAACTGTGCGTGCTGCCATAGTGCACAGGAGCATGGTGTTGGGGGCGAGACGGAGCATGGGCGCACGCCTTTTGAGGCGCCTACAGAAGAACGAGCATGGACACACTCCGTGCTTAGCAATAGGGGAAGGTGTGGGACGGACTTTGCTCCAATTCTGCCAATCCTTTCACCCTTCACCCTCCCCCTCCCCCCCCCCCCCCACGCCCACCCCTCCTCCTTTGTTAAACCAAACGTCAGGCGGCATCACCTCCTTCTCACAGGGATCGTTATTGATTAGCTTAGCCCATCCTGATTTGGCGCATTTGGTTATTTCTTTACTTGGGGCGCCTCAAAAAGCGAGCCCGGCCCATTACCTCTCAGCCTATTCCGACTCTGAGCAATGAAGCCAGTCCAATTCTGCTCTGCGGCTCATTTCCCCTCTCACCCTCCGGCCCCCTCTTCTCCACCCTCCCTTACAACCATGCAACAGGCATCACGCCCTGCAGGCAGCACGGTTGAACGCACCCCATTCCTGCAGGCAATCCCGTGCGTCCATTTTTTAATCGGTGCGGGAAGCCGATCCAATTCTGCTCGCCAGCTCATTTTCCCTCTCGCTCTCCCAATCCCCTCCCCCCTCCCTCCCATCCAGGCGGCATCACGTCCTTCCAGCAGGGTCAGGCACACCCCCTCTCCCTGCTGCTCACCAACACGCGCGTCCCTCGAGGCATCCCGTCCTTCAAACAGGCCCGAGCTCACCCCACCTCCCCACCTTCCCACCTCCCCACCTCCCCAGGTATTAACAGGGCCGATTCAGTTCTGCTCTCCCCGGCTTCAAATCTGCTTTTTCACCTGCCACCTCGCCCTCCCACCCCCCATCCTCCCTCACCCCCTCCCTCCCATCCAGGCGGCATCACGTCGTTCCAGCAGGGCCAGGCACACCCCATTCCGTCTGCCCTCCCGCTCTCCCTGCTGCTCACCAACACGCGCGTCCCTCGCAGCACTCGCCTGCTCGTCTCCCGAGTCACCGACCGCCTCGCAGCACATGCTGACGCAGTGTCGGCCGTGCTGTGCGCCATGCACCACATCGCCCTGCAGGTACGCAGCAAGCTTTGTCTACTGTCTACTATCTACTGTCTCAGTGCATTTGTCTTGGAACGAACTTGCTTGTCTTCCGAGTGGCCAAGCCCTTCGCAGCGCATGCGGGCAGTGTGTCGGCCGTGCTCCCACGCCATGCACCACATCGTCCTCCAGGTGAGCAATCTTGTCTGTGGGTAACATGTAACATGTAACATGTAGACATGCATGGCATGCAGCCTGCATGGCCATGCACCACATCGCCCTCCAGGTGGGTGACAGGTGGACTGGGGCTTGTGCTTGATGTGCCTTTGTCTGCTGGCTGGCGCACCAACTAGACTCAGAAACGCACGGGGGCAGTTTGTCGGTTGTGCTGCATGCCATGCACCACATCGCTCTCCTGGTGCGCAGTCTTGTATGTGGTCCGCATGCAGTTGGGCCTGCCTCCAGGAATGAATCTGCTTGTTGCTAGAGTGTCCAGCCGGCTTGGTGCGCATGCGGGCAGTGTGGTGGCCGTGCTGCACACATGCCATGCACCACATTGCCTGCCCTGCAGGTAAGTAGGAGTGTGCTCAGTGCATCATCCTGGCACAGTCCACGTGCGGAGGAATGAGCTTGCTTGTTTTCAGGCGCCTCAAAAGAAGGAGTGCGCTCTCTGCATCATCCTGGCTTACTCCATGCGCCAACGAATGAGCTTGCTTGTTTCCCGTGTGCCAGGCTGCCCCTGGCCCCGCGTGCTGACATGGTGTGCATGGTCCTGCCTGCGCTGCATGCCATGCCATGCCATGCCATGCCATGCCATGCCGTGCCATGCCGTGCCGTGCCGTGCGCCAGTATCACTCTCCCGGTGAGTAGTTTAGCTTCAGGTTTGGTCTAGACATGGTCCACGTGCCAACGAATGAGCTTGAGCTTGAGCTTGAGCTTGAGCTTGAGCGTGCTTGTCTCTCGAGTGCCAGGCTGCCTGCCTGGCCCTTTATGCTGACACTGTACTTGGTGACTTCCACTCGACTGTGTGTGATACATACACGGCATGCCATGCACCACGTTGCTGTGCAGGCCTCGCAGCTGCTACAACAGCATCAGCAGCAGGAGAGTTCCGAAGCAGGAGCAGCATCGGCAACAGCAGCGACAGACGCACCGGCACCAGGAGCAACAGCAACAGGAGCAGGAGAAGCGGCAGGGTCGGCTGCAGTGGCTGATAAAACTGAATCGGTGGGCAACACAGCAGCAGAAAGACCAGAGCCTGAAGCAGCAGCAGCAGGAGGAACTGGCCCCTCGGATTCTCTCCTCTTCTCTTCCCTGGGCACGCTCGTGAGCATGAATCAGGGGCTGCTGAGTGCCCTGGGAGTGAGCCATCACAGTATTGATGCTGTGTGCATGGCGTCGGCACGCCATGGCCTGCCGTCCAAGCTCACAGGAGCCGGGGGAGGGGGGTGCGTCATCACCCTGCTACCACCAGGTCCGTGTGTTGTTGGAGTGGGTATGAGTGTGAGGGTGTGTTGGTGTGTGGGTGTGCCTGCATGCATGCACAGATGCATGTGCTGGGAAGGTGTGATGCATGTGTGCATGCGTGTACCTAACTATCATCTGAGTCAGAATGTCACCCTCTCCCCTCCTCTCCCCCCCCCCCGCCTCCTCTCGTCATCTTCTTCATCCTCAATCAAGGCCCCATTCAGGTTCGATGTTCTAGTTCTTCGCCTACTTATATGTTCATCTCCTTATGCTCACGTGTTTCAGGTACAGCTGGCAAAACAGTGAGAATGCTGCAAAATGAGTTAAAAGATTCCCTCGGGTTTGATTGTTTCGAAGTGTGCTTAGGTGGTGAAGGGGTGATGTTGTGCTGACTTCCTGATTTTAACGACATGGGATTTTCATCATGCTGCGTTGACTTGTCATTCTGTACATGATTTTTTTTTAAGTGTAACACTTTCTAAAAATGCGTCTTGTGAAAATGAAGCTGCTCGTAGTGAAGCAATGGCAACAGCGAATTGCAAAATGCTATTTGCCGAGTATATAAGTGTTAGAAGGCTAACTTAGCTAGGAAGGAAGGCGGCCATGAAATGGCGAGCGGTTTAGGAGCAAGGAGAGAAAGTTGACGAGAGAGAGAGTTGAAATAGAAGAGAGAGAGGCGTACAATTAGGGAGTTGTACCCTCTACAGTAGAGTTCAGTGACACATACCAAGCATACAATTATATAACAAATATAATTTAACACCCCCCCTAGGCTTGGTAGTGGCAAGCCTACACACACCCACACCCCCTAACCTAGCACCCCCATACTCAGTAGCAGCGATTGCTACTTCAGCACGGTCAACCCCACGGCACGTAAGGTGGGGTGACGTCAACAACGAGGACAGAGGCTGCAACGGCGGCGACGGCGGCAGCGTTGACAGCGGCGTGCGGCGGCGTGGCCAGCAGCAACAGCTGCGGCGGTGGCGGCTTCAACGACAGCTGCCGGCGGCGGCGGAGCTCGCAGCACTCGGCGGCGTGGCCGGGCTCCGCGACGGTGGGACGGCCGGCGCGAAGTAGCCGTCGGCTGCGGCAAGGAAGAGGGGACGCAGGGAAGGGGGGCGGGGCTTCAGCAGCGGAGCCCGGGAGCGTGCCGCCCCGTGTGGCGCACTGGCTACATACGGGAGTGCTGGCCAGCGCTAAGAAGAGGCTCTGGCCGCTGCCGTCCGTGCCGTCCGCGCGCTGTCGCGTAGACGCCGTGGCAGCACGACGGCGCCGTCACGCCGCCACAGTTTGACGTCGACGCCGACGTCGCCACGGCTTGACGTCGACGCCTCGACAGCGCAACGCCACGGCTGCGCGTCGCGACAGCCGCGGCAGCACGACGCGGCCGGCGGCACGACGACGCGGCCACAGCAGCACGACACGGCCGCCATGGCAGCGAGAGAGAGAGTAGAAGAGCGCCAGCTGAAGCAGCAGATGCGCGTGCAGCTGAAGATGCACAAGTCCGACACCTCCTCCTTTTTCTCCAGCATCCCCAACCACATGCGAGTCACTGTCTCCCGCCAGCTCTATTTGCCGATTGTCGAAAATCTCGACGGGGCGCAGCACACGGCGTGTTCTACAATGCTGGATCCTGCTGTAGAGAGGACAGCCCCCCTTCTTGTACCTTTCTCTTTCCTAGTCTACTCTTTTCTCTCGCCATTTTCCCTTCTACCTAGCTTAAACCTCGTCGAAACATTTACTTCATTCTAGTCCAACTGCACCCTCATTCCCGTCTGCCACCAGCGCTAACTATGCAGCCATAGTTGTGCCACCATTCAATTTTGCGAGAAATCGCTCTCGCGTCGAAAATTCCTTCCAAAATAATTTCATCAAGCAAAGCGGCTCGTCGTGCCAACCCTGCGAGCGACGCGCCGAGACAAAAGACGGCCGCACATTCGGCACTGCATGGCCGGCCGCACGAGCCACCCATGCGGCAGGCGCGACTGGCGAAATCCCACCGGCGGGCGGGCGGTGTCGACTGTCGCTACACCAGCCGCCCGCACGATCGCGTCAACAGTGGCGCCTAGCATACCAAACGAACCGCACCGGCCGCTGGCACTGGTGCACCCTGCACACATTTTATGTATTCATAAAAAAGCAAAGTACCTAGCTGTTGTCATTTCCTTTCTTCTCTCATTTTTATTGATTTTTTGTTCGTTATTTTTCATGGCAAAATCTACACATGGACGCCAAATTGAACAAGGGCGACTAAGCTCACAAGCCCATCGCTCATGCATAGAGGGCTTCTTGTGGCGTAAGGACTGGTGGGTCTGTTGATTGGCTAGAGTCTTAGAGTAACTAATTGACTAAAGTAGAGAGTACATGGTGAGTTTGTACTAGTGTGTTGTACCCTCACAGTGCATGCACCTGTCTAGTCTATAATAACATATGCATATATGTTTGACACACCCCCTAGGCTAGACAAGGGGCAGTGCCTGGCGAGAGACACGCAGCTCGGGGTGGCACTACTAGTCCAACCTTTGAGGCAAGGGTCAGAAGACCAGTCAAATGAGCACAAACTTGACCTCAGCTGTGTTGGCACCAGAGGCCAAGTGTACTACGCGGGCCTGGCGGCGCTGCTGTAGCTCGCGCAGAAGGAAGTACCGCAACTGGATGTGCTTCGCACTGCCCTCAAGTTGAGGCTCCTAACACAGAAGGATCATGAACCTGTTGCTAACGTACAGGACCGGGGCAGAGCTAGGCCGCTTACCTAAGTCTGTGAGCAAGAAAGTCAGCCAGCGGAGCTCCTGTGCCGCCATGGCACCAGCGTAAATCTCTGCGTCATAGCTAGACTGTGCAACAGACGATGAGCGGGTGGACCTCCACGAGATGGCATCTGCACCAAGGCTAAAGCAGTAGCCCTGGGAGGACCTGAGTGTCTCAACATCGTCCGGCCACGAAGCGTCTGTGTGCCCTGTAAGGACCACTGGTCTACGTCCTCGTAGCACTAGCCCCATGCCCGATGTACTTGCTAGATAACGCAAAACCCTCTTAGCGGCCGACCAGTGCTGTGGTCGGTGTCTGTCTATCGCCATAAAGTGAGCCAGGATGCTGAAAGGGTATGCAAGATCTGGACGAGTGCAAGTCATCAGGTACATGAGGCAACCCACCAGCTCTGCGTATGGACCACTAGGCTCTACTGACTCCTCAGGGAATGGAGCCGAGAGCCAGTGATCTACTGGAAGAGGTGTGGGTTGTGCGGAGGAGAACTGAAGACCGAACCTCTGAAGGACCTGGCGCACCAAGTGTGACTTTGTGAGAGTGATGGTGCGCGCTGGTCTGTCCCTGGTGATCTGCAGGCCAAGGTAGCGGAGCAGCTCTCCTAGGTCAGTGCACAGTGAGGGAAACAATTGTCCGTAAGTTTCGCATTAATTTGGGTTTTTAGGCTTTAAGACCACTATACATGAAGCCTTAATGTTTAATGGTGGTACGATTTGGGAGGGGCACATAGTGGATGTGTTCACAACACAAAAATCCAGAATATAACATTGGATCCAACTCATATCCCAGAAGATAAACAAAGGGTACATCCGGACAAGTAGTTTCAAGCAGAGAGTGCAAACTTCATAACTGCGTTTCTGGTACACAGCCCACCGACCTTAGGCCTTGATCACCATCCGCACCCTCCTAGGCATGTTACCTACGAGGTGAGTGCAAACCTCGGCAGGGAACTTCTTGCACTCTTCCTGGACCCACCATTTTGCATAAGGAGGTGAGCACTAGGAAAATCGCAAAAAAAGTGGGCATAGGCAAGAGTATTGTGGACGATTTTATATTGAATGGTATCAACGAGACTAGCCATGCTGAGGTATGGCCAAAGATGCAATTAGCCAGTCGGTCCCATCTTGTCATGGATCGTTTTCGTCGTACCGCTGTAAAGTAAAAACCCGATTAGAGCGGCCAAAACTAGCATAGGCACCGCGAAACTGAGGGTAATGTGGCACGGTTGACTGTGCACCCTTGCACCATAAAAATCACAATAGGGTCCGTGGGTCTAGTCACGGTGCAGCAGTCGTAGAAGCCATGACTCTTCTAAAAAAACATCATGGGCCAGCTGCAATTCCTGGAGTCGCATGATGAGTGGACAATTAATGCTCGAAAGCATGTGATCTGGTCAAATGGGACCAACATTAACTGCTTCGGCTCCAATGGCCTGGATTCGTAAAGGCACAACACTGCAGCACCACCAAATCAAACAGACGGTAAACCATGGGGACAAGGATCGGTGATGGTGTGGGGATGTATGACATGTGCTAGGGTGGGGTTCATACGCAAGATTGACGGGCGTATGGACAGGCCCCTGTATGAGGGCATTTTGCGCGACGAACTCGAATTTACCCTCGATATCTATAGCATTTTCCCCTCTGATGTCATTTCGGTGCGGACAATAACTCCAAGAAATTTTCATGCCTAGTGTAGGAATGGCTTGGAGAACAGGAGCATGTAATCCTGGTGTGGCCTTCTTTCCTCATCTAACCTCAACCTCTGGGCTTACCTGAAAAGGGAGCTGACCAAGCATAAAAGGCCTTCCTCCGGAATGCGAGAGTGTTGGGACCTGGTAAAGGAAGAATGGGTGAAGATCCATGCCGACGTCTGCTCTAGCCTCATCGATAACACTCCTAAGAGGATGTGGGCGGTGATCAAGGCCAAAGGTCGGTGGGCTAGGTACCAGAAACGCAGTTCTGAAGTTTGCTCTCTGTGTTTGGAACTATTTGTCCGGATGTACCCTTTGTATATCTTTTGGGATATGAGTTAGATCCGATGTAATATTCTGGATTTTTGTGCCATGAACATATCCACTATGTGCCCCTCCCAAATCGTACCAGCATTTAACATAAAGGCTTAATGTATAGTGGTCTTAAAGCCTAGAAACCCAAATTTATGCAAAACATATAGACAATTATTTCTGTCACTCCTAGGTGTAAGAGTACGACCCGGTTCTATTACCTTCTCCTTTCCATTCCATCTCATTCCTCTTTTTATCCTGATTCATTTGGTCTTGATCTCATTCCATTTGGATTCCTATTCTCCATTATCCTTTGATTTATCCTGTTATTATCATTATATCACCGACCAGGCTCGGGATGTACTGGCGCGCTATATCTAGCGTTATCCTGCCGTAATCCCTTAAAGCCAATAGCCTCGCGTGGCTATACGCAGGGTGATTCTATTTCTAGAAGGGTCTAGTCCTTTTGGATAGGATAAACCTGGTTACCTGATGTACTTTTGGAGTATAAAATCGCCTTGTACTGATCGATAGTGCAACCTTTCCTCGACACATTCGATCATGTGACACTAGGTGTGTCTCCTTAGCAACTCAGGCCAGTGCGTCTCTGTCAGTAGTAGCGAAGACCAGGTCGTCTACGTAGTCAAGGATGTGGAATGGGGCCTGGCCTGAACGAACGAAGAGCGAAGGGTCTGTAGAGGACGGAAATAACTGCAA